TCATATGGGCCTAGGTGCAATAGAGGGCGAGACGCATAAAGATAGACCGAAGAGCAACAGAAGAAAGAACATAAACTTCCTAGAAAGATAAGCTCTGTTTCGACGGCTGCGCCTCCTCACCTCGCCCACATATCCCGCTCCCGGGTGGAGCATATAGGCTCGGTTTCGGTGGATGCGCCGCCTCACCTCTCCTAAATGTACCGTGACACATTTTTATTTATATAGACATGGTCGGGTAAATTACAGAAAGAGTGTATTTTTAACATTGGAAATGTTCATGTTTTCGTACATGGCTACAAAGTTACGTAAGTTTCGTTCAAGGCCAAAAGATAACGGTGTCGCATCAAGTGACGTTTCTACCGTACTCGGCCCTGATCATTAGATTAAGGAAAAGTGGTGGATACTGTCGATAGGGTGACGGGGTGATCCGAGTAAATAAAAGTTATTTGTATTTTACATTATACGGTTATTTCCAATTCAGAAAATTCAAAAAATCAATTAACAGTCGCAAAATATATATATATATATATATATATATATATATATATTTTTGTAATGACAGACGCAGAAGATGGGAAGAAAAGGAAATAGAAGAAGAAAAAAATGTAGGGACAAGAGTGACGAGAACCGATCGATGGAGCATTCAGACAACAGCAAAGATGAGGGAAATGAACGAAAAATAATGAAAAGAGTAGAACAGTAGCATAAATAAAAGGCCAATAACATAGGAAAATGAAAGTAGTGAAGAAAGGTGACCTGAGACAAAGTTGACAATAAAGATCCTATTGATGCGAGTTTGATTAAGGGTTCTAAAATCGCAAAGGAGAAGCAAAGAAGAAAAAGTAGTAAAGCGCTTGAGACAAAGTTAGGGGGAATGATTCGTGGTAAAAACTGTGTATGCAGGAAATGATGTACGTAAAAAGAAACAAAGTATAGTGGACGGAGTTTATTGAAGAGTCTCAAAATCGAGTAGCAAAAAGATCAGGCGAAGAAGATGAAAGGTGGGAGTGGAGACAGAGTTGGAGAAATTAATGGGAGGAGCCGAAATACAGAAGAACGGAAATAGAGTAAGAATAGGGGAAACGGTTCAAAGATTGCAGTCTGGAAGAAAGAGTGAGAGCAGAATTTGAGTGGAGGGAAGTTTATTGACCAGTCCAAAAGTCACAAACGAGAAACAAAAGTAAAAAGGGAAACTAGAGCAAAATATGAAGGGGGGAGGCGACAGTAGAGACGAAATTGGAGAAGATTGGTTGTGTAATTATGTGAGCAGATACCAAGTTAGAAAATCAGGAGACAGAACAGAAGATGATGAAGAGTTCGAAAATGGCAAAGGCAACAGAAGAAATGGGAGTGAGGCAGGAATAAACGAATTACTGAAAATACTGGATTCTTGTGGGATATCACGTTGGGCTCAAGACAATCATTTTGTGAACTGCACATTGTGCCGCAATTGTTAAGGTCACTTAAGGCTCACGGTTACTTTACAAGGAATCGACTACTATCAAATGGAAGGCTACTTAAGGATGTGCAATGTGCAACCCTTACAGCCCATCCCCCAGAAGGATAGATGTGGAATGTAAGCCGATATAGTGCCACCTGTATAGCAGATGGGGTCAATTGCGGCAGCTCAAGAATGACATACAGATCGGAAGAAGAAGGAACATTATGTAAGTAAAAAAAAGGGTCTGGATCTGGACTTCTAAAAACCAAGTTGAGGAATATTGCGGTAAGTGGGAACAAGATTGGCGAGAAGGATTCCTTAGAGATTTAGAGACCGCTGGGATGAAGACGGTAGGAGAATAGAAAATAAGAAGAATTGGTTTATAAGAATGGTAGAGATGCAGAAATAAGCGAAAAACGAAGAAGAACGCGGGAACAAGATTGGCGAGAAGCAGCAAGGGTGGTGATTATGAAGTTACACAAAGAAGTAGAATAGTAACACAGAAGAAAGAACAGTTTGAGAGGAAAATGAACGTACAGAACAAATAGAGATCGAATAGTGAGGGTGAAGACAAAGTTGGCGAGAAGAATGTATTAGAAAATGATAAGAATCACACAGATCCGGAAGATGGAGACAGCGGAAAGATGAAAAGAAGAATTGTGCGACTTCGCTCGCTCGCAAACGAGAAGAAAAGCGAACGGGAAGTAGATGAATGTAATAAACGCAGAAAGAAAGAGTAAAGGAATGAAGTGGAGACAATGTTGGAGGTAATGTAAAGAAAGTAATGACTGTACTGTTGAACAATTTCTATTAGAGACAATATAATGTCCATGATTACGAAGGTGGAAAGCGATAAAGAAGAGTGGAGAAATGCGGATGGTGAAAAATCCGGCAGATTGTTAAAAGATAATAAACGTAGAAAGAAAAAAAAGAATGGGCGAGTGAATGAAGACAACGATATATGTTAAGAATTTTGGGAGTATCAGATAGTAGGAGATAAAAACAGAATAAAATGGAGGAAGAAAGTTTGATATTTTATTAAATGTTCGAAACTCACATACGGGAAAGCGACCTCGTTAGGGAATTAGAAAAACCGCATTGAAAATGGGCGAAGCTTGTGCGAAAGTTTAGCAAAAAAGGAAATAAGAAAAAATAAACGGAGCAAAAGAAAGATGGTAGGGGGGGGGGGGGG